GGAGGGGGTGGGATAATGGGAGTGATTTATTCGTAATTAATTCCATTCATAACTGGATTCGCGAGCGGAAATTGCCGAGCGAAAGAGGAAGACGTGGGGGCACAAAAGAAAGTTGATTAAAAAGTAGTAATCGAATCGACGCCGGGAGCAGTTGTTAATTGATAACTGTTTTTAATTGCCGGCCCTCCCTTCCTGGCCGCTCGCCTCGCAGAATCACCAGTCAACTTTCTCCGGTTATCAAGTAGCCAACTTTTTTTCCACCGCGCCGCCTGCCCTCAAGTTCAAAATCAAATCCAACTTAAATGAAATAGTGACTAATCAAAATTTCTCATACCTCGGTTATTATTTGTGGCCGTTCGCATCAGGAAAACGGATCCAGCAGGAAAGCAAAATTTTCAGTACACCGTTGGGCCGAATGCAATGCTTGCAGTTGAAAGGTCACCAGTTTGTTCTTCTTCTTCTTCTTTCGGATGGCATTTAACAATCGGATTCTGAAATTTGGCCGGAATATACTCTTAAACTTCCTCAAAAATAAGACACGAACGTTTAATTAATTTTTGTCAATAGTTGCGAGCAAGTTTAAACTGCAATCCGGAAATTGTATGACTTTTTAGAGGATTGGAATCTGTTAAAAAATTTTTTTTCTAATCTGCGTTTTTTAACCAAATGAACTTTTAAAAATATGTCTTCTATTTACAATTTAAAATGATAACTTGAACAATAATTTTTCATTGAATATATTTTTGAAATAACTACAAAGATGAAAATTGTTTCCATAAGATGTTTCAGAATCAAATTTTCGCTATCAGAGCATCTCGTTGATTACTTTGCGAGGATGGCCTCCTCTCCCCCGTCCTCTTGTTTTTACGCGACTCTTTGACGTAAATCGTTTTCATCTTACACCCCAGGACTGTTCTTTGAGAGCTTCAAGTATTGATAATATGAAGCTATTCTCAGCTTGAAATTCACCAGAAAAATTGAATTTTTCAGATTGTAACGCAAGTATATTTCACACGCTGAGCTTATTTCAATGGAAAATGTTCCGGTCATAAAAACTAGAATTCAAGTATGCTTCAAATCCAGTCCCACCCGGGGGTTATTTAATACTCGAAGCAATTTGTAACAAGGCCAACAACCTGGACATAACTCCTTCAATTTTGAGCTGGTGCCCGAAATGCACTCACTGGGACCCTCGTCCATCCGTTTGGATGGGAGCGGGGGGGGGGGGTGNGTGTGAAAGGAGGAAGAGAAGGGGGAGGGGAGCAACGACCCGAGCCACTCACAGTTTGTTTCTCGTTTGCATCCCCTTGAGTTTCCACTCCAATTGGGCGGAAACCGAGCTTGGCGCGAAAGAACTCGCCACTTGCCCCAATTAGTAAATTACTCACAATAGAGGACCGCGACAAACTCACCATTCAGCTCTTGTGGCTGTGTTGCCTACGAGGACAATATATCGTGGAAAGCCTTTTTGGAAAATGGATCTCTTCCTTGCTTCATTGCGATCTAAGACGTTTTTCTAACGTAAAATTTACGAGAGCTTCCGGAGGATCTCTACCATGACAGATTCCTGTGGAGAATAGGCGTCGCAGAGCGCCCTAGCGCGCCGTAAAAGCGGTTCATACATACATAAAATTTACGAGAAACACAATGGTGTGACATTTGTTCTCTGTAACGAACTCCGAAGCTCAAAAAAGCTCTCAAAGTTGAGGCCTAATGGAGGGGTACCTCCATGCTACGCTGTGAGTCCACCCCTGTATCTCAGTGGCGTGGCGTGAATAATCGATTATCGATATCTCGCCATTTGAAACTATGGTAAAGAATCGATTACTAAGGTGTTCGCTGCGAACACCCTGATAATCGATCTTTTTTCATAGGTTTAAATGGCATAACAATCGATGTATCGCAATTCACCCCACGCCACTGCTGTATCTAGCAACCTCTTTATGCTAATTGTAAGATTTAGCGAGCAAGTTGAGGAGCAAATATATTAGCAGGACTGTCATAGTTTCAGTCTTGGGATCTCTAAAGTGGCAACCCTGCTGGTATTTTATTCCCTATCTATGCGTGGAAAGTTTGATTTGATAAAGAGGCGGACTTTCAGTGCATCGTGGGTGATTCCCACAGTTACTGCCTTGACCTTAAGAGATTTTTTTTAAGGTTGAGAGTTAGGTTCAGAGGAAACAAATAGCACCACCGTGTTTCTTGCAACATTTTTTACGTATGAAGAAGTATTTAAACTGCAAATCCCTGACGCATGCAATAGTTTCATTGGAGGGTCTATTATAAACGTAGCTTCAATAGATTCAGGCTCTCGTTCTCGCGATATACATGTTGCATTCAAACAATGACGATGACATATTTCCGTTCCACCGATGAGAATAAATCTATAGATATAATTATAGCTTATCTGTGACGTAGGTAAGACTAAATGTGTTTCTTGGGCCTTGATCGCTCACTGCTTTCTTCTTCTTTTACAACAATATTATTATAGAGTTTTGTATTTCATACCGTTGTCGAGATATTGAGTTTCTGTAATACCTTGATTTTTCAATGTTGAAATAAGAGCTGATTTTTTTCTCCGTTAAATGTATTTCTCGATGTATCACTACCTGTTTCATCAAGTTAATGGAACTGTAACTTCCGCAATATTGCCAAAAAACTGATAAAACTGTTAAGTAAACAATTCAAAATCATTTTATAAATGTAGGCAACCAGCAAAGCACCTGAAAATTGCAAATCATCTCGATAGCTCGAAATTTTATTTAAAATGTTACAACGCATTTCAACACTGTAAAATGTTAACTTCATCGCTTTGGCTATGCACTGCATTTCACCATTATCAGCACTACATGGGCAAGCAATTATTGGTGGTTTTGAATAGTTCATGTGCGTAATGTGCAGGTGAAAGATGAGTTACTTGTAATTCATTCGCGTATTTGCAAGTATAAGGAACTCATTTTCAAGATAAAAAGGGCTCCGATGAAAATGTTTGATTTTAGGGCTGCGAGGGTGTGTCCTGCCTTTTATTCAGGCCTCCTAAAAAAATATTTCGTAAAACAGGTTATACTGCGGAACAAAGGCGGCACTGAGTCTCGGCGTTTTTCAGTGTCCTCAATGATGTCCGAACAATTCAGTGAATAAACTAGGTATGCTATGCATTGTGTGACAATTTTTTTCTTGAACACACTGTAGGTAGGTATGTCAAGGAAAGTAGCGGTAATTTATTCAAGCAGTGGGTAATTGAAATTTACTTTCTTCCATAAACTATAACCTTGCGTTAATCCTAAGCAGAATACGGTAAGGAGTTGTTTTATGATCTTCCATTACGTGGCACTTTCTGCGCTTATACTTCAACGTGAGAAATCCTTATCCCTGGGAATAAATGGAGGTCAAGTCATAACAATGCGTCTTATTTTTATCTTCGCGAGCATTGCTTCGCTTGCAAGCTTAATTATTTTCTTTATCTTTCCTTCGGTGCATTTAGTTTTGTGGCTGGCTTTAATGCTCCGAGATACCTCTTTCAGCTTTCAGAAGATGTCTCGGGCTGTGGGAGAGCTTCAAATGGTTTTGATGACCGTATTTTACACTATTTTACGAGCAAATTTCGAAACTTTCTACTTTTTTTTAGCAGAAAACGACTTTCATATACTCTGTTACATATCGGAAGGTCGCCAGAAAACTATATAAGTCCTACATAAGGATTAACTTCGCAAACTGCATCGGTGAGGCAGGAAGCATAATGTATAGAGCCCGATTACGGCAGACTTTCTGTTCGTTGAGAACTTCAAGAGCTCGCGTACCGTTGAACTAAAACTGAAATATTTAAAAATGCTTTATCTCTTAGTTTCGGAGTGAAATTCTGAAGAAGAATGTTGAAAAAAACCGAAGCCGAAGTCAGACAATTTTAGTAAATTTTAACCCTGACTGAAGCTCTGAAAATCAGTCGGTAATGAAGTCACAGTAATTTAAAACTGTTTAATTGTTAACTTTTTTAAAAGACATTTTTCTTTAATATTACTCTCTGAAACTCATTTGGCGGTGAAAGTAGAAATATTTTCGGCATTTAAAACGTTTAGTTATCAATTAAGTATATTTGAAGATAGAAAAGAAGATCAATATACTTTGTTCATACATTGCATCTACGGAGAAAATTTTCATCAATAGGAATTTGAAATCCAAAGCATTTATCCTTCATCTTCTTTTTATGTAGTTTTATTCATTGTACTGAACGTTTTTATGATTGGTTTGTTGCAGCAGCGATCGCGGCATCACAGAGACTCGTTTGAGACCTCTACAAGTGCTCCCGTGACGTCATCATTCCTAGAGGATTACGACGATGACATCACTGCCCTCACAGATCGAAGTAAGTTTATTGCTCTTAATATTTCGATAGCTCAACTAATGGACAGGTTAGGTTAGGTTAGGTTAGGTTAGGTTAGGTTAGGTTAGTTCTAATTAGATTAGATAAGAGAAGTTTACGATTTTCTATCATTATGAACTTTAAAACTAAGAAAGGCCTACTTGCTATTGGACTCCATGCTCAATTGAGATGAGTCCCGAAAAGCATTGAGTTGTATGGACGATAGGGTTTATTGCAGAGTGTCTTTACACCCTTGTGTGAGGAGGGCGACGTATTGTCATATTCTACCAAGCTGTAGCAGAGCCTGTATAATTTCTATGAGAACCTCATCATTTCTTGCCAAAACAATAAGGCTTCTCCTACGAAATTTTTTCCTGACTTGCGGGACTTTGACGAAGGTGTTCAAAAATCGGCGTACTTCGTCACATTGTTTAATTTTGGTGAATTCCTTCATTGGGTCTGTCGACCTCGTCGAAGATTCTCCGGAAATGAGTCATTCCTTTGAGACTTAATTATGAACGAAGGAGGGAAGAGGGGAAAGAAGAACACGGGGCGGTAATTCTATTTCGGAAAAATCGTTCCCTACGAAAGTAGTTACCTGCATGAATAGAGCTTTCACAGGCTCAGCGCTTCCTCTATGTTATGCAGGTCACCTTCTTTGCCAGGCATCCTGAAAATTGTTGCATTTAACCACAGGAAATACACCTCCCTGATTCCCTCTTACCTTTAATTTCCTGCCTCATTTCTGTCGCTTATCTTGCGCGCTTTCCTCCAACTCGTTACTGTTTGCGTAGTTCGCACTTTTCACTAGTAGTGTTATCGTTTGCGTAATTTTCGCCTTCAATTTTGATGCACAGCAATATGTCAAGCATTTTTTTACTCCAATAGCTGTCTCAGCAACGCCTTGTACAATTTTGGTCAAAATAATTTGATTTTAAAAGTAAGATTTTAACGACTAAAGTTAAGGTGGCTCTACAGCACTTAGGGAAACGATTAGATAGTCAATAGAACAGGTCATAATTTTTCAAGTTCAGCGAACATTTTATTATTAACACAATGTCCAAAAGGTAGTAGCACTGAAATATATTGGTATTTGGAATGTAGCCAAGTGCTAGAAATTGTGTAACATTTTTTGGAAAACTTACATTTTATTGATAAAATTTGACCGAAGCTTTTCGAAGCAAACGCTTGGTCGTTCGGGTCACAAAGTATTAATTACAAAGGCCATAACTTAATTTTATCAATAAAATGTAAGTTTTGAAAAAATAATGTTACATTATTTCTAGCACTTGGCTACATTCCACATACCGACATAATTTTTGGATTTCGGAACATTTTCACAAAAATTTCCGAATGTTACATCTCGCCAAAGTACGTCAAATAGTCGCAAATGAGTTTTGACCGACAAAAACTTTGATATAACTCTAAAGCCACGTTCAAAAGAGTGCGCTATTCACAAGAGCGAGGGTTTGAAGTTATTTTAAAATGTCTCTTGGCCAAATCTTGTCTACGAATACATGACGTTCCTCAGCGTGCTGCGACAGTCGAGGATTTTGAGACACGCGTCCTGAGATCTACAGGTATTGTCGATATTACTCGATCACTCTCTAGAGCAATCGATCTGCCGCATTTGAATTACTTGTGATTAACTGAGGTCGATGTTTCTAAGCGAAGACAATACATTTTAGGGACCCTGCTTTAATATCTTCCTCATATAGTGTAAGAGTTACTTTTGGAAGTAAACACTCAACTTTTTCCAATTATGACGAAAGACTTAATTGAGCAATTGGTTTAACGAGCCTAACATAATTTGCAAAAACTCGTCTAGCGAAGTGCTCACCCTTATATTTGGACGTGTTTCTACCAAACGGAACTATATGCATTATGACGTGAGCCCTGTTATGCAAATATTCTTATGCGTCTCAGGGCTCATGTCTTGGCACATAGTTCCGTTTGGCAGAAATACGTCCATTCATCAGTCATCAATAGCAAAATGCTCGGCAAGTTGCTTGTTGGGCGAACAATAGCGTTGACCTCCTAACTTAATTTTTGTCTCACCCGATTAAATTTCTCGAATTGTTACTATAAGGGAAAACTGGACTACATTTCGCAAAAAGGATACACTATTTTTGACTCACTCTAGAGACAACATATACGCTGTTTATTTCCCTGTGTAGATAGTTGTTTTCATGGATGAGCTAGAGATAGTGGCCCCTTACTGCAAAATGAAGTCCAAATATTCGCGATCTAATTTCTAAGCCTCTCGCGATCTGGCAACGGCGGAGACGTCTTGAAATTGCCTTTTCATTATGCCATTGTGTCGTCTTGTGCAGAGACAGGCCCGTGCCAGGCTTGCCTGTCGGGTTAATTTCCAGTTGGGTTTTCATCACGTTTTGCCCGACGTTGAACTTTTTCACCCCGGCGCGGGTACTTTGATGAGCTCGCTCCTAATGCGACCAGTGATTGAATAAAGTCGGTAGACTTAAATCGGGATGCATTAATTCTACTTCTGCTTTTAAATTTAACTAGATTTTGCAACAAGGGACTACTATTTATGGCTCTTTATAAAAGGAACGTACGCGCCATTGGTTTCCTTGTGGAGGTAGGTGCTTTTGTACATAAGCCAGAAATAGTAGTTCCCAATTGCAACAGCCGAGGCATACGGGTGCGCCTGAAGGGATTAGCTTCCTTTATGCAACGGAACATTGAATACATTTTTGATTACTTTTTTCAGAAATTTTATAGTTGACTCTGGGAATACAAATATGGATTTTAAGAGTCAGTCAGCTTTTTAATGTGGGAGTAATCGGATTGAGGAAGGGTAGTGGTCTAGAGGTTCTGACTCAATAATTTAACAATAATTTAACAATAATGGTTGATTAGGGGTGGTTTATGGACCATGATGCCTTTTTTACGAGCCTCTGTCTGTCTCTAAAACTATCTCTATTTTGAATATGCAGAAAAGTGATTTTATTCTGGTATTTTTTTTTTTTTTTTTTTTTTAAATTTGTCGCCGAGAAGATTTTTCCTTAATAATATCTTGAATTAAAGACATAAGTTGATTAGATCAAGAAGGAAGTCGTTTGTATCGAGCTAAAACCTGCTGGATTCAAGCGATTTCATTCTGAATTCTAAATGAACTATTCTTGACGACGAATTCAAGAATATTCCAACTAAAATTTAGTCCTTTTCTCCACCAAATGCTCAAACCATGCTCCGATGGAATTGGAAAGCGATAATTACTGGTGAACTCTATCATATCTAAGGCTGAAGAACAGTACCACCTAACCAACAATTTTGGTAAAAATTAGTTAGCGACTTCGCCGCATTTTACAGTATAAAATGCGCAAGCTGATGATATCAGATTTTTCCAATTCTATAGAGGAGCGCTGTAATGTATGAAAAAATGCAAACCTAACTTCAAAATTACAAAAAAGGCGAATATCTCTCTTCGTCCTGCAAAATTGTCAGTTTGCAGATAGACGACATTGTTCCTCGGTCATCGATATACTTATTACAGTTAAAGTTCCACTCATTCCAAAGCTTCCGGAGGAATCAAGAAAAGTATCGTCCTGTTTTCGTGTAATTGAAATTGTATCAAGGGAGTTTCATCGTCGTTGGTCTCAATCTCAGCAAAATTGCGGTGAAATTCCCTAATACCAGGAGGAAAAACATAAATATGGGGCAAAACAATCGCATGCTTCTCCCGCGCTAACCGATAAGCACACGGCATCCTGAATGTTCATTGTCATTGATCCCATCGAGGAAACTTACAATAAGCATCGAACGATCGCTGATGCTCGATGCTTCGAGAGCGAGAGCTCTCTCGGAAACGATTCACTTGCGTGGGTGCAGAAGGATGCACGCCATGCGCCATGCACTCGCCACTAAGACATTACCTTTTGACTCGAAGCGGCCCGTAAATTCTTATTAGTGTTGCGTCGGGAAATATCTTACCACCAAGCGCCACGACTTTTATGTCCGCCGCGCGGTGGGAGCAGTGGCGATTTCGCAAGTTGGCAAAATTGTTTTTATTCCATTAAAATTCATCACAAATATCGATTTTATGTGAGGCAAGCCGCCTCGCCAAAGATTGATTGTTTTACATACATTTAAATGGAGGAAAAATTGTGTTGCCAACTTTCTAAAAAACCCATCGGGTAAGAGAGGTCGGATGCAAAATTTTTCACAGAAAATACAAATTCTGATGATTGTGTTTCTTCTTAACATTATACATTTTACGGGATTTTTTGTGATGAAAAAATTAAGGAAACCAAATGGAACCACTTTTGAACTTCAAGGTTTTGTATAGGTTACTTGCCCCAGTCGCAGATTAGTATTTTGATGGATTTAGATTACACACCAGAGGGAAAATCTGTACAAACACCAAGTTTCAACGTCCAGGACTAACAGAAGTGTGTTTGTTCCTTTACAAAACACCGCCAATGACGTCCGCCATAGTGGTGCGGTTACAGTTTTTTCTACCTTGATTTTATCCGTGCTATAAGTGGTGCAATCAGTGCAAATTTATTTGCCTCTAATTGATTAATCCAAAATAAAAAAAGCATGGTACGCACACCGCATTTTTCGAAGGGGGTTTAACCTCCGTTAAAATTTAATCAGTGAGAACGAAAACACACCAACTCGGTAACTCGAAAATGCTCAATTTCATTAAAGACAGTTAATTTACATAAAGGTCATTGAAGTTAGCGAATCTGTTCCAACTTGGACCTTTAAAGTGTCCATAAGTACTTGTCTTTCGGCAGCAAAAATCGCTTTCTGAAACTAACTTCTTCGCCTACAGTGCAGTTTAGTGTGTGTCTTGATTAGCTTTCTTTTTCCGAGTTGGTGTGTTATCGTTCCCACTGATTCAATTAGCCATAGCAACTCGTTCGGACAGACATACTTAATTTTTGTCGATCTACTTGTCATAGTGTGACCAATGAATCTGATTCATTGGCAAATGTATAAGCTTTTAAAGTGCTCATGCAAAGTTAAAATGT